ACTGTTTTATTCCTCAAGTTCGAGAATATTGTTTGGAGAAAGATATTCCTTTCAAGATTTTATTGCTACTCGATAATGTGCCTGGACACCCACCACATCTAGGCGATCTCCATCCAGATGTAAAATTTGTTTTTCTTCCGCCAAACACGACTCCACTCATCCAGCCTATGGACCATGGTTCGGTTGCTACATTAAAGGCCAACTATCTCCGAACCACCTTCGCTCAAGCAATATCCACTATAGATGCTGACTCAGAACTAACATTGCGAGATTTTTGGAAACACTGCAACATTTTGATGTGTATCAAGAATATCGCTACCGCCTGGGAGGCTGTGATGACAAAGTGCATGAATGGCATCTGGAAAAATTGTGTTAAGCGCTATGTTAATGATTTTGATGGATTTGACAGTGAACATGAACTTGAAACGATTCGGGAAAAAATAGTAAAACTCGCTAAAGACCTTTCTTTGGAGTGTGAAATGGAAGATGTCGAAGAGTTGCTAGACAGAGAATCCGGTGAACTTACAAATGAAGAGCTAATCGAACTGGAAGAAGAAAGAGTGGCGGAAGAAGAAAGAAGAAAAGCAGAGAAAGAGGAGGAGCCATTAAGAAAGTTCACCACTAAGGGATTATCAGACGGTTTATCTTTACTCAATAAAATTCTTACACATTTCGAAGCAATGGACCCAAACATTGAACGATTTGCAAGGATTGAACGGATGGCTCATGGTGTGTTTCATCCGTATCGTGAAATTTATGAAGGAAAAAAGAAACATACCATTCAGACAAAGCTCACCATGTTTATGAAAAAACCAGCTCCGGTAACCCCAACTGCTGCCTCAGATGATGACATCAACGATCCTCAGCCAAGCACCAGGGACCAATAAAATGTTTCATACATGTTTACATATTTTGATATGTTTTGCAATTGGGAAAATGTTTCCTATGGTATTTTTTACACCTGTATTTTGTATTTTTGTATGCACCTGTATTTTGTAATTTTGTATGTTTTGCAAATATTAAACCAGCTGTTCTGGTAATGCAGTGTTTTACTTAAACCTGATGAACGTAAAAATAAGAAACAAAATGGTGTAGAGATGATACAAATGGCATAAAATGAACAAAGAAAATTATGATATATAACAATAATGAAAGAAAATTATGATAAAATATGACTTAAAGATTTTTATAACATCACTTCACAGTACTGTACATATAGCCTACTCAACTTACCACCAAATCGTGTTACGACGGGTCTGTCGGAACCAATCGTGGTCGCAAGTCGAGCACTAGCTATATGTTTATTTTTAGCCTGTTCAACATAGCAAGACCTCATCTCTACAAAATGGTGAAATAACAAGTTAGCCAGGCATGGTGGCATATGCCTTTAGTTTTACCTACTCAGGCAGCTGAGGCAGAGGATTGCTTGACCTCAGGAGTTTGAGGCTGCAGTTAACCATCATTGCACCACTGCCTTCCAGCCTGGGTGACAAAGTCAGACCTTGTCTCAGAAAAAGGATAAAAGTTATTGCTAGTTTAAAAACATGCCTAAAATTTGTCCTGCCAAAAAGGATAGAGAAAAACGTAAACTTTAGTTTTTATTTTATTTATGTTTGCTGAGAAGATTGCTGTAATTTATTTACTTTTTATTTCCGTAGGTTTTGGGGGGAACAGGTGGTATTTGGTTATGTGAGTAAGTTCTTTAGTGATGATTTGTGAGATTTTGGTGCACCCATCACCTGATCAGTATCCACTAAACCTGATTTGTAGTCTTTTATCCCTCGCCCTTTTCCCACACTTTCCCCTGAGTCCCCAGAGTCCGTTGTATCATTCTTATGCCTTTGCATCCTCATAGCTTAGCTCCCACATACGAATGAGAATATACAATGTTTAGTTTTCCATGCCTGAGTTACTTCACTTAGAGTAATAGTCTCCAATTCCATCGAGGTTCCTGGGAATGCCATTAATTTATTCCTTATTGTAACTGAGTGGCATTCCATCATATATAGATATAATATATAGATATAATATGTATATATAAAATATGCATATAAAATATATACACGTATATCACAATTTTTTATCCCCTCATTGACTGATAGGCATATGGGCTGGTTCCGTATTTTTGTAATTGAAATTTGTAAATTGTAATTTCTTTGAGTTCCTTGTAGATTCTGGGTAATAGCCCTTTGTCAGATATATAGAGTGTGAAGACTTTCTCCCACTCTGTGGGTTGTCTGTTTACTCTACCGATTGTTCCTTTCCCTGTGCAGAAGCTCTTCAGTTAAGTCCTACCTGTTTGTTTTTGTTGCATTTGCTTTTGGGTTCTTGGTAATGAAGTCTTTGCCTAAGCCAGTGTCTAGAAGGGTTTCTCTAAGGTTGTCTTCTAGAATTTTTATGGTTTCAGGCATAGATTTATGTGCTTGATCCATCTTGAGTTGATTTTTGTGTATGGTGATAGTTGAGGATCCAGTTTCATTCTCCTTCATATGGCTTGCCGATTATCCCAGCATCATTTGTTGAATAGGATTTGCTTTCTTTATATTTTAGTTGGCTTTGTTGAAGACCATTTGGCTATAAATATTCAGGTTTATTTCTGGGTTCTTTCTTCTGTTCCATTGATGTATGTGCCTGTGTTTATACCAGTTTCATGCCGTTTTGATAACTATGGCTTTATAGTAGAGTTTGAAATTAGGGAATGTGATTGATGCCTCCAGATTTTTTGTTTTTGCTTAATTTTGATTTTGCTATGTGGAGTCTTGTTTGGTACCATATCAATTTTAGTATTATTTGTTTCTAGTTTTGTGAAGAAGGATGATGGTATTTTGATGGGAATTTCATTAAATTTGTAGATTGCTTTTGACAGTATGGTCATTTTTACAATATTCATACTACCCATTCATGAGCAGGAGATGTCTTTCCTTTTGTTTGTGTCCATCATTTCATTCAGCAATGTTTTGTGGTTTCCAACAGCATATCAAAAAGATAATCCACCATGAGGAAATAGGTTTCATACCAGGGATCCAGGGATGGTTGAACATACACAGGTCAATAAATGTGATACACCGCATAAACAGAATTCGAAACAATAATCACATGATCATCTCAATAGACACAGAAAAAGCATTTGACAAAATCCAGCATCCTTTTATCATGAAAACCCTCAGCAAAATGGGCATACAAAGGTCATACCTCAATATAATAAAAGCCGTCTATGACAAACCCACAGCCAGCATAATACTGAAGAGGGAAAAGTTGAAAGCATTCCCCTTGAGAACTGGAACAAGGCAAGGATGCCCCAGTCTCACTACTTTTATTCAGCATAGTACTGGAAGACCTAGCCAGAGCAATCACACAAGAGAAAGAAATAAAGGGCATCCAGATCAGTAAATAGGAAGTCAAACTGTCACTGTTTGTTGATGATACGATTTTATACTTAGAAAACCCCAAAGACTCCACCAGAAAGCTCCACGAAACTGATAAATGAATTTAACAAAGTTTCAGTAGACAAAATTAGTGTACACAAATCAGTAACTCTGTTGTACTGTAACCGCGAATGCTGAGAATCGAACCAAGAACTCAGCCCCTTTTATAATAGTTGCAAAAATAAAATAAAATACTTAGGAATAGACCTAACCAAGGAAGTGAAAGACCTCTACATGGACCTTTGATGGTAAGCCTTTGGTTTTGACTTACTAAATTACTAGGTATAATTATCTTCTAGTTTTTGTTATTAACCTACTATATAACCTCTTCCATTTCTTGTTAAAGATCATAAAATTTCACACTCTTTATTCATGCTGACTGCAGTTAGATGATTTATTTCTTTTTTGTTGACTACCTTAAATAATACCTATAAACAGTAAACCGTTAGGAGTGTTTTTGGTGTAATTAAATGTAGTAAGACTTATTTTCCAAATTATAACTAAATTAATGTATTAAATACTTGTCAAAATTTTTGATTTACTCAAAATTCTGTGCTCAGCAGCTGGAGATAGAAACAGTAAGAGCCCTCCCTTACTCTTATGGAGAGGCATACTTTCTCATGAGGGAAATACTGGGCAAGAATTAGTATCCTGTAACCAGCAGTGAATTTGATTAATTAGTGTACAAAAAAACAAAAACAAAAGTTTTTTTTGTGTGGCTGCTGACAAAAAGATTCAAGAAGGTAGATGGAATCAAGCTTGCTGAAACAAGGAGAGAGAAAAACAGTCTTCTAGGCAGAGAGCAAGGGTATAGCAGGAAAATGCCTAGGTGCAGGTCAGATGATTTATAGAATGAAATTAATCAACTTCTGAAATGAATGGCAAGTATTCTCTGAGAGTTTCATTTGAGTCATGTCATGGTAGTCTTATTTAAACATGAAGTGAAAGTTAAATTTTTAAGTTATCTGTTTTCAGGGTGTGAGAGAATGTTTAAGTGATAACCTTTTTATCCTCCACATAAGAAAGCAGGACTAGAGCAACCAATGGCTTCCTCACTTGGTGGTGGCCTAGGAACCCTGGCACACAGAACCTCTGAATGTGACACACCTGTTTTGTCACAATATTGCCTGAAATAATACATGTAGGATTAGTAAGTTTGTAAATACATGAGTCTTGTATTCATTGCAATAAATTTCTCATGTACCAGTATTATTTAATACATTACATTTTATTGTAATAAATTAATAGAAATTCTCAGCTGCTTTATATCATGGTAGAAAAAAACAATGAAATTGTATTTTAAACTTTTGTCATTATATATGAAGAGAATTCATAAAATCCTTGTTAGGTTTGATGACAGGTAGCATATTAAGAGCAGCATTTTCTAACCCATACCTCAATATCATCTCTGGAAGTTAAGAGCCTCCAATGGTTTTTCTATACAGTGCACATGGTATCACACTCAGGCAGTTCATGGAGTGTAAGAAATATCTTAGTGCTTTGTCATTTGATATTTTAACTGAGAAAAAAAAACACACTTTGATAAGTTTACCTTATCCTTCCCTTCCTCTTTAGATAGATACATATTATTTTTCTTCAAAATTCAACTCATGCTCGACAATTTTCCTGGAAGACACCACAGCCAGCTGCCCTCATTTTAAAATGACACTAAAATCGTGAGTACCACTATACTGCCAAGGGACAGATTAAAATTATTTTAGCCATTTGGTTGTCCTCTTCAATCAGTTTAAGAAATTGGAGTCAACTAAATATTGATACCAGATTCTAAATATTAAGTATCAATTTCTCTTTTCATCTTCTACATCGTAGTGGAAGGAAAAATCTCTTAGCAAATAAGCAATTTCAGAAAAAGTGTTGCTATTTATTTGATGCCTTTATGCCTTAAGAGAATGTTGAATGCAGTAAGAAGGACAGGTTCCCTTTATTGAATGCTTTTTGTTAAAAATTAGTTTCTCAATGTGTTGCAGGCCTAAGTCAATGTGTACTACTTTGGACATTAGTCTTAGAAGAAGGAACAGCTTTTTCTCCTCTGGCACCACATTGTATCTGCATTTGAATTTCTCCCATTGTGCATAAGCACCTCATGGGCCACAAAGATGCACTTTGAGAGCACTCTGAGATGAAGTTTGTTTTTTAAAAAGAACAACCACCAACACCACCACCACAGGGGCTGTCCAGTGATCATTATTATCATCTCCTTGGTTATGAGTGTTGATTTTTAGAGCACAGTTTGGAAAGTGCTAATTTAGAATATTAGTGTCCTTATATTTAAGTTTACTTTTCATTCTGGAAATATAACTAGCTAGCTTATAAACAATTTTGTTTTGAATGCACTAGCCTTTTTAGCTAATTCATTTGTCAGTAACTTTTACTTTAATTAAAAATGGCAGGTTTACGCTCATAATAATGTCACTTTCCTCCCTCCCTTATAACAATAGTTGAGATGAAATTGTGTTTCAGCAGAAATTGGAATCAAATTATGTCTTAAGTGCTGAGCTTTGGGACCTATTGAGTAATCACTAAATGTCTGTAGTCAGCCAAGTTTCTTCAATCTTTTTTCTTTTTCTTTTTCTTTCTTTTTTTTTGAGATGGAGTTGTGCTCTTGTCTTATTGCCCAGACTGGAGTGCAGTGGCACCATCTTGACTCACCACAACCTCCACCTCCCAGGTTCAATCAGTTCTGCCTCAGCCTCCCAAGTAGCTAAGATTACGGTCAGGCACCACCGCACCCAGCTGATTTTTTTTTTTTTTTTTTTTTTTGGAGAGTTGAGGTTTCTCTGTGTTAGCCAGGCTGGTCTCAAACTCTCAACCTCAGGTGATCTGCCCACCTCTGCCTCCAAAAGTGCTGGGATTATACTCATGAGCCACCACACCTGGCTATCTCTTAAATTTTTGAGCATAAAAACAAACAAACAAACAAACAAACTACTTTGGCTAAAGTCCCTGGCTGCTTTTGAATTCAAACGATTTTTATGTGTTAGCATAGAATTCCAAAGTAGCTTTGAAGATAGCCTTGTTCAAACAGATTTCATGCTTTTTTCCTCATTCTTCTAATTTTTAGAAGTCTACTTTCAAAAGTAAAGTAAGTTTTAATTTGCCATCAGCAAGTTTGAGAAATGAGCATTTGGTGTATTCACTCTTGGTGAAATAGAGGTTTATTGAGCAAATTAATAGGGCAAATTGGCTTCGGGAAAAGATTTTGAAAAATGTTCATCACAAGTTAGTAGTCCACCGTTATCAGTGGGATAGGTGGAACTCATTGGGATCACTTTTGCAAAGTTTGTCTTCAAAATACATGTCTGCAAATACATGTGTCCTCCAATCTCCACTTTCCCTCTATCTCCAGGCACTGAGAAGCCTTTTAGGAAAACATAGCATCTTTATGTGAAGAAAAGCATCCCAGAAGATTCTGATTTTCACCCCAACTCAATCATTTCAAATTTTGCTTTGAAATCACCTGGGAAACTTTTACCAACAACCCTGATGGCCAAAGTTATATCCAATGCTAATTATTGAAAATCAGGCAGTTATTAAAGCTTCTCAGGTGATTTTATTATGCAGCAAAATTTAGAGCCACTGCCTAATTTGAGTTTAGGGCAAGAAACTGCTCCTATTTGTTGGGACCTTGGGAAAGTCAGTTTTAAGATTTGTTTCCCTGACCTGTAAAATAAGTGTTGAATTAAATGTCTTGTAAGGTCATTGGTCCTTTCCAGCATATAACTTCAAATTCTGTGATTTTTAAATTATTTCAGAGATGAAAGCTACTTGAAGCACTATAGACATATCCATCTGAAGTGCTAATGTTACAGGCTTTTTAAAAAGTGCTATTACTAAAATTGAGATTTGCCTTCCCTCAGTTATTTCGAACCTCATTGCAGATGCTGAGGGCAAATGGAATCACATAACTTACATAAGAGAACCTCTTGTTTGCTGATACACAGCATCAGTGGGTAACTTAGGAATACAGTTACATATATCTGAAGAGTTCTATCTGTTCATAAATAATTCAGTTAAACTAACTGAAGATACATGCAATTGATATTATACTGTGTCGTGTTACACTACCTTGTTGGCACTGCTTATTTTAGGATTGCTGTACCTGTCATTGATGTCATGTGAGCTTATGTTTACTAATATATTTTCTAACAATTATGCAAAAGCAATTTCCAATAATTTTATTTGTTATAAAGCACTTTCATTATGTTATGCATTTTTTGGGAAATAATTTAAAAAATGGGTGGGTAGGAGACAGTGAACTAAACTAAAATGCAGGACCTAACATCTTAAAAAAGAAACCACTACTGTGTGGCTGAAATTTAAACATATGTACACATAGATATAAATTGCATGAGTCATGGTTTGGCGGCTCAAGCTGTAATCCCAGCACTTTGGGAGGCTGAGGCAGGCAGACCACTTGAGGCCAGGAGTGTGAGATCAACCTGAGCATCATGGCAAAACCTCATCCCTACTAAAAATACAAAAATTAGCTGGGCATTGTGGCACCAAACTGTAGTCTCAGCTACTTGGGAGGCTGAAGCATGAGAATTGCTTGAACTCAGCAGGTGGAGGTTGTGGTGAGCCAAGGTTGCTCTGGGCTACAGAGCAAGACTCTGGGTCACACAATAAATAAATACATAAAATAAATTGCATGTGATGAAAGGTTTTGTGGGTAGAAGAACATATAACAGGGAAATATGTTATTTATATATTATAATCATCTACAGAAACACGTTTTCTAACAGTGTATTGTATTGCCTTGCATTTTTGTTCTCATATTTTTGCTAAAACCCAAGAAATGAAAACAAGAAAGTGCCCTTATGGTACTGTTCTGAACTAGAAGGTTTTAATTTCAGTTCTCCTAGGAGAGTTTCCACCACACCCTTTTAAAAAAATGTCTTCAGACCTAACAAATGTTAACATCTATTGTTATGAATGTTTTTCCTTCCACAGTGTGGCCTTGGAGATATATCTTCTTATCAAGGAAAGGTGAGCTTTTAAAAAAACTGTCTTGTTATTCTGGCTAATTACTTTGCAAGCTATCCAGCTCTTTAGGTCACAGCTCTAGACATCATGAGCTGTATTGGGCCTACTAAAATGTCCAAGCAAATTATTTGTGTTTTCTTTGGTCCTCAACACTTTTAATTCTTAAATGATTGGGAATCTCAAAGAGTATGTATTTATATTGATGATATTGATATTTACTGTCATAGAACTATAAAATCGAGATTTTTTTCAAAATCTATTTTTAGTTTAGATTTCACAGCCTTACTACTGTTGATATCTTGATACCTTGATAACGCTTTGTCACGAGGACTGTCCTGTGCATTGCAGAAAGTTTAGCAGAACTGGTGGCCTGTACCAAGTAGATGTCAGTAGTAACCCATGATCCAGGTTGTGACAACAGAAAATACTCCTTGAGAACAAAATGTTAACATAAAATTTTTAATGAGAAAATAGATTTTCTACAACAAAAAGTTGAGTAAAAAGTGTGTCATGTATTTATATTATTGAAAACCTTGAATGTCGCACTTAATAGAAGATAGCTGGATTCTCTAGGTCTTTCTTTGCAATTTGCCTTAAGAAGCAATAAGATGGCCAGGTGTGGTGGGAGGCACCTGCAATCCCAGCACTTTGGGGAGGCCAAGGTGGGCAGATTCATTTGAGGTCAGAAGGTTGAGACCAGCCTGGCCACCGTGGTGAACCCCATCACTACTAAAAATACAAAAAATAGCTGGGCATGATAGTGCATGCCTATAGTCAAAAAAGGGAAGCAATGACATGACCTAATCTCATGCAAGTATGTAGTTGGTAAAAGGTGCATTTTTAAAGCTTTGAGACAGCTGTGTGTATTTAATAGTAAGTGAAAACTTGGCAAGTGCTACTTTTTAAAATTAGTTGCAGTGGTATTATACATATTAATAAATTTATTTGGTCAGTACTCACTAATCTGTCTTGCATGGTAAATGGATCTTTCCCCCCATACTTGCATTTATATTATCATGCATTAGTTATTTGGAATATATTGGTTTATGTTTTATTGTGTCAAAAATCACTTTTAACCACCAATATTATTTTAAAAGTCTTTAAGTATTGAAAAGCTGTCAAGCCTACAGTAGAAGGAGCGAGATTTTCAAAGTCCTCAGGAAAGCTTAATTTATCATTGGGAACACATGCTTATTTTCCTTGAAGTGACAACCTCAGTTCATTTATTTTTGAGAATGATAGTTGTCCCTTTTTTTTAGACTGAGCCTCACTCTGTCACTTGGCTGTAGTACATTGGCATGATCTCAGCTGAAGCAATTCTCTCACCTCAGACTCCTGTGTAGCTGGGACCACAGAGGTGTGACACCACATCTGGCTAATTTTTGTGTGTTTTTGGTAGAGACAGAGTTCTACCATGCTTCCTAGGCTACTCTCGAACTTCTCAAGGAGCTCAAGCGATCTGCCTGCTTTGTCTCCCAAAGGGTTTGGATTTTAGAGGTGTGAGCCATTGCACCGGCACAGTAGTACTTTTAAATAAAAATGATGTTCTGTGAAAAAAGTGATTGTTCCGCTCACAATTAAATCATGATTTTTTTTTTAAACACAGTCATACTGCAGTCAGCAGAAGTGCTTCTTCTTAGCTTTCTACTGATTCAGAATATCAAAAAGACAGGTCAAGATTTAGTAACACCATTAATTTTTACCACCTCAACAAAGACATTCTTAATTACTTTAGACTGCTTTTTAACTGTAAGGGACAATAAAGAACAGAATTACTACCGGTGTAATTGGTACCACTGTCTTGATTTAGGCTGAGAAACCAGCAGTTTTATCCACTGTTGCTTTTATACAGTTACGGCAAGTGTCTATGAAAAAGTAGTCAGTGTCTTTGTATTACTTTCTTAATTAAAAAAAATTTTTTTGTATCAGCTTTCTGAGGTTGAATTAGTATGATTATCAGAACAGTGTCCAGCAGACACAGTGGCTCAGGCCTGTAATCCCAGCACTTTGAGAGGCCAAGCAGATGGATCACCTGAGGTCAGGAGTTCACGACCAGCCTTGCCAGCATGGAGAAACCCCATTTCTACTAAAAATACAAAAGTTAGCTGAGTGTGGTGGTGGGTGCCCGTAATCCCAGCTACTCGGGAGGCTGAGACAGGAGAATCAACTCAACCTGGGAGACGGAGGTTGCAGTGAGCCAAGATCCCACCATTGCACTCCAGTCTGGGCAACAAGAGTGAAACTCCATCTCAGAAAAAGAAAACAAAACAGGGTTGACTTCTTAGGCCTTCTCAGAAAGGGTCTTCAGGATCCCCAGAGGTCCACAGAGCACATTTCAAGAACCACTGGTATATCACACAGGCAGAATGCATTAGTTTTACAAAATTTAAAGTTAATCAAAGACTAGGCTCTTTTAAAATAAAAGGGCAGATGAGTTTTTAATTCAAACAACAGAAAATAAATTCATCATGAAAGTATACTACAGAGGACTAAAAAGCAAGGAAGCTAGGAAATCAGAATCACATGTACATTTATTAAAGTCCTAAAGACTTTATTGCCCACCACTACTGCTTTGTAAAACATTCTTGTGTTTCAATGTGCGGTTAAGAAGAGAGAAAATATGTTTGGTTTATTGCCATTGCCTGTTAGGGAGGGTCAATACCTATAGGCAGCTCTGACTGGTTATTGTGACAGACTTCACAGTACAGGATATGATGTGTGGAGGAAGAAGAGGTCGGGAAACATTCTGCAATTCAGGATCCAGGAGAAGAATTTGTAAAAACTGTTTGCTTTGGTGAAGTAAACACCAAAGCACATAGGAGGCATTATTATACTAAACAGGTGTTATACTACGATATTCACAGTTTTTGAAGTAATGCACATTCTTATTTTATAGAGATGAAAATAGAACTTTGGAAATATTTGACGAACGTATATTCCCATTTAACGTAAGTGGCACTTTTATTGAGGTTGTATTTTCATCATAGACTTGTATTTGTTTCATGCTGATGTCAAAGCCATCTTTAAATCCTCCCCATTTCATGTTGCATTTAGTCCCCTTAGGTGTTGTAGAAAGAATGTGTTAGAATAAGAACTGATCTGCAGCTCTGTTTAGTTAGTGAACTAGTATGAGTAAATCTACTATCGAAATAACAGAAAATGTATCTTTTAAAAGACAGTTATTAGTAGCATCAAGCAATATGAGTATATGTAAATACTTTTAACACAGAAGCATGACTTTTATGAAGAGAGTTAAAAATAATTTAAGTTTAAATCAACCTACATGTTATAAAAATTTTAAAATGTACTTCCTCAAGTACATAATAGCCACCTGTGGCTAGTGACTATTGTATTTAACACCGTAGGCTTAGAGCGTCATGGTTACAGGAAACTGTATTTTCTCAAAGTTTATTGCAGAGAGTGACATACCATCAGTAAGACATTAAAGCCTAAGAGTAGCTTACATTTGGATAGAATTATGTGGGGCAAAGACTAAAAAAGAACAAAAATTTTCTGAACTTTACCTGATATGATTTTTAAGTGAATGTTGATGAGTATTAAATCATTACAGTATTTTAAGATCCCACTGTTCTTATTGTAAAAACTGAAAGATATCTCCCCAATCAAAATTATTGTAAATGATACATGGGCACAAATGTGAACACTGCTGTCTTAAGAGCACTTCAGGTTTTCTCTTCAATGGATACTTACATTGCATCCTTTCTTCTTTCAGCAAGGAGAGGTTGTGGAAGAATACTTTAAGTATGATCCTACACACAAAGTGATTTTAAGATTTTTGCGTACCCTGTGCAAAGCCAAAAAGCTAAATGCTTACTTAACAATCATAAGCTTGGTAAGATATTTTCTATTTATAAAGCATCTTTAGAAATTGGTCTTGTAGAGCCACCTGGCCAATGTGGTTAAACCCTGTCTCTACCAAAAATACAAAAATTAGCCAGGCATGGTGGCACGCCCCTGTAGTCCCAGCCATTCGGGAGACTGAGGCAAGAGAATTGCTTGAACTCAGGAGGCAGAGTGCAGTGACCCGAGATCAAGTCAGTGTACTTCAGCCTAGGCAACAGAGCAGGACTCTATTTCCAAAAAAAAAAAAGAAATTGATCTTGTAAACAGGGTAGTATGATCCTGATTTTAAATGAAAGTTGGTTTCTGAAATTATCTCAGATCTTTAAGAGAAACTTATGAAAGCAAATACACACATTTGAGTTGAATCATCATTATGGCTTAAATGTTGCATTGCATTTCTCATACAGAACAATTGCTATTAAAGGCAGCCGGAGGGATTTCTGATTTCTCCCCCCACACTTTAGTGGACACATGCACACGCAGTGCACACACATCCAGGGCATGCGGAGGGCTTGGAATGAAGAGCAGTAACAAGACCATCTGGTTCATGGGCAGGAATGCGTGCCATTGTAGGTCTAAGCTGAGTCCCAGGGTGTATCCCCAGGCAGTTCTCATGTATGTTGTGATTGAGAGCTACTGCCCTCAGTTCATTCTTCCTTGGATGTGTTAATCTACCCCCGCTGGGCAGAGTAGGTAGCAGAAATATTTGGGCTCTGATTGTGATATGGCCCCTTACTTAACCTGATGAAACAAAGTCTCTGTAGAACATAAGAACAAAAGGCATCTACTTTCTGGTCAAAACCAGAAGTTTTCTGGTTTTTCATAGGTGTTCTTATCACAGCACTTAAACTGAGCTAAATCAAAGGCCAGTGCTCTGTTTTGCAGGTATACGTAAGAAGACTTCTAGAGTGTGCTGATATCAATATTTGCCCAACCAACTGGAGGAGGATTGTCTTTGGGGCCATTCTTCTTGTCGTCAAGGTTGGGAGCAATGTGGCTCAGTGCAATGAGAACTTATGCAAGCTCTTTGAGAAAATTACAGTTGACCATATGTGAGTTTGTACAGTTTTTGTGAACTTTCTAACCATTTTTGAATACTTTATTTGCTCCCATAAATGTAAGCACTTTGAGAAATACTTTTAAAGGTTATATTATGCAGATAATAAGAATGGGCATAAATACCACATACTCTTTCTCCCCAGCTTTAAAAGAACAGTTCATATTTTTCACTCTTCTTTGGTAGGTCTTGGTAAATTGCCATTGTAATGATCTCATAAATGGAAAAGTCTTTTTCTGGTGAATGTTTTTGGCAAATATCTTACCAGTGTACAATGAGAAACATGATAGTACAATCAATTTCCTTACAGCTTTTACAAGCTGTCTACAAGTTATAGTCCCTTTGTGAGGAGCGCATATCTGGCCTTTGAAATAATTGTTTGCCCATTGACAGGTTTGGGGCCTCTGCATTGTGAAGTATAGCTTCACCCTGAGCCATACGTTGTGTATTTGCATTTGCTGGTGTTCTCCCGCTTTTCTCTGAAGATCCGTTTTATAGAAACCTTGAGATACAGAATAGCCACAGTTCCCTGTGCCCTTGTCCTCTCCCCATTAGGAGTGTTGCATCACTGGGCTGATGAGTTAGAAGTTCCAGTGTTTCCCTGAGGCAGTCTGAGAAACATTGCTGGGGAATCACCCTGTGCTCACCACACTCAGGAGGTTCCCGGGGCATTAATGCAACCACAGCAGCACTTGGGGGGTCCCAAGGTATCTATGAGAATGCAAGAAATCTTGCTGAATCATGGGATTGCTCATAGATGGCAACATGACACTGAAATAGGAGCTTCATGGGTCTTTCAGCCTGGCCTCATGACTGCTGTAAAGGGAAGGGTCTTGGAGTTGGTTGGTAGGGTGAGCCAGGGAGGCATTTCCGGCACAGGCTCTCACAGTGTCCACTAGACAGTGAGAATGGCTTTGTGAGTGACACTTAGGAAAATCTGAAGGAACGCCTCTTGATGACATAGAAGTACATGAAGCGTATGAAGATGAAGATCCTCAGGCAGTGGCAAGAGATTTTTGTTTTTTGTTTGTTTCTTTGTTTCTTTGTTTTTACATTTGCCTATTACTCCAGATAAGACTGTGATTCAGGATGTATGCAGTCACAAATAGAAGTCTCTGCCAATTGTGCTTCCCACAGGAATAACAACTTTAGCAACTATCTAAATAAAAAAGCACCTCCATAAGAACTGAAAATTATTTAATTGTTCATATGACGTGGTTTTAATGTCGTATCAGTGAAAGAGGCACTGAAGAGCATAGAAAAGACAGTCTTGAATTGTTGATGCCACCACTGTGAACCTGTGGCAAGGAGAGAGGCTAGTGCTTGGGGAAGGGAGCACAGCAGCTGTGGGACTTTGCCTTAACTCAGTGCTGCCTCATCATAGCAGAACGCAAAACAAAGCTGAATCCACCCAAAGCCCACCCACAGAAAAAACACTTAGACTAGCCCCAACCATAGGGGAATTATTCATCCCCGTGGTTGCAACTTGTGTGGTGAAAGCCTGGCTGCCATGGGATAAAATAGTCTGGGGCCCTTAATGAACCTGAAAGGCTGTCTAGGTCACAAGGACTGCAACTCCTAGTGCCATCTGGACAGACCTAGTGCTGTCCCAGAGGTCATGGCCACAGCGGTGCTTGTATCAGCCTCTCCCAGCTCCAGGCAGCTTAGCACAGAGAGACAGACTTCATTTGTGGGAAAGTAAGTGAAGAAGCGAGTCTCTGTCCATTAATCTAGAGAATTCCTTCAGATCTGATCTCAGACCACCAATGTGGAACCTCCACAATTCTGCAAAAAGCCATGACATTCTTCACAGAAATAGAAATAAAAATGAATCCTGAAATATATAGGCAACTACAAATATCCAAAGCTAACCTGAGCAAAAACAAACCTGGGGGAATTACATTATCTAATTTCAAATTACCCTCTACACCTGTAGTAACCAGAACAGCATGGCACTGTGATTAAAAACAGACACATAACCCAATGGAACAGAATAGAAACCCAGAAACCAATTCATACATCTGCAGTGAACTCATTCTCTGTGAAGGTGCCAAGCACATACAATGGGGTAATGACAGTCTCGTCGGTAAGGGATGCTGGGAAAACTGGATATCCACATGCAGAAGAATGAAACCAGGCCTCTATTTCTTACCTTATACAAACATCAAATCAAAATGGATTAAAGATGTAAGTCTAAGCTGGGCATGGTGGCTCACACTTGTAATCCCAGCACTTTGGAAGGCCAAGATGGGAGAACGACTTGAACTCAGGAGTTCGAGACTGTCTGGGCAATGCAGCATCTCTGTCTTTTAAAAAACTAAAAATAGATTTAAATCTAAGACCTCAAATATGAAACTAAAATAAAACAGTGGGAAAACTCTCTACGATATTGGACTGGGCAAATGTTTCTTGTATAATGTTTTATAAGCACAGGCAGCCAAAGCAAAAATGGGCAAATTAGGTCACATCAAGTTAAAAAGCTTCTGCACAACAAAGGAAACACTGAACAAAGTGAAGTGACAACCCACAGAATGGGGGAAGGTATTTGAAAACTATCTGACAAGGGATTAATTACCTGAATACTAAGGAGCTCAAATAACTCCATAGAAAAAAGAATAACAATCTGATTTTTAAAATGGGCAAAATATCTGAATAGACATTTCTGAAAAGAGGACACATTAGGCAGGCTTGGTGGCATGTGCCTGTAATTTCAGCTGTTTAGAAGGCTTAGATGTGAAAATTACCTGAGCCTGGGAGGTCAAGGCTGCAGTGAGCTGTGATTCTGCCACTGCACTCCAACCTGATTGACAAAGTGAGACCTGTTTGAAAACTCCTTCAGAAAGGCATACCAATGGCAAACAGGTATATGAAAAGATACTCAACATCAATATCGTTGATGTTCAGAGAAATGTAAATCAAAATTACAATGAGAGATCATCTCACCGCACTTAAAATGGCTCTTGTTGTAAAAACAGGCAATAACAAATGCTGGCTAGGATATAGAGCAAAGGTAACCCTTGTACGCTGTCAGTGGGAATGTAATTTAAATACAGCCACTACGGAGAACAGTTTGGAGGTCCTCAGAACTAAAAATAGACCCACCATATGGTCCAGGAATCTCACTGCTGGGTATAAATCGAAAAGAAAGGAAATCAGCATATCAGAGAGATACCTGCCTCTCATGTATGTTGCAGCACTATTCACAACAGCCAAGATTTGGAAGCATTCTGAGTATTCATCAACAGATGAGTGGCTAGAGAAAATGGTTCATATACACAACGGAGCACTAGTCAACCATAAGGAGAATGAGATCCTGTTATCTGCAACAACATGGATGGAAATGTTAAGTGAAATAAGCCAGACACAAAAAGACAAAATTCACCTATTCTCACTGATTTGTGGGAACTAAAAATTAAAACAATTTAACTCATGAAGATATAGAGTAGGAGAATTGTTTGCAGCTGCTGGTAGAAGTAGTATGGAGGATGAGAGGAGTAAGGGGTGATGGTTAATAGGTGCACACATTTGTTCAGAAAGAATAAATAACATCTCGTATTTGATAGCACAACAGGGTGAGAACAGTCAAGAATTATTTAATTGTACATTTTACGGTAACTAAAAGAGTATAATTGAATTATTTGTAAAAATAAATAAATAAAAAGATACACGCTTCAGATGTGATGGATTTTCCATTTACCCTGCTGTGATTATGACACATCATAGGCCTGTATCAAATAATCTTATATGCCCCCACAAAATGTACACCTACAATGTACCCCCCAAAAATTTTAAAGACTTTCATTCAGAATTAACACAGTGTGTATTTACAATTGAAATGAGGCTTCTTGTAACCAAGAAGAGACTAGTTATGTTTGGTTGCTGTTCAAATGGCTGCTAAGTTACCAATTTGCTCATAGTATAAACTGAGTTGTCATGGTGATGTTGCTAGTAGCCATTTTAGTAAAGGATTTAACAGAAAATGAATGTCATTTGAAAGTTGCAGAAGCTAAAGTTCTCTTAATCACTACTGTCGTCAATCTGTAAACTGGTTTCTTTTCTCTGTGTGTGTTTGTGTGTGTGTGTGTGTGAGAGAGAGAGAGAGAGACAGAGAGAGAGAGAGAGACAGAGTTTTGCTTTTGCTGCCTAGGCAACAATGTGCAATGGCGTGATCTTGGCTGACCGCAACCTCTACCTCCTGGGTTCAAGCAGTTCTCCTGCCTCAGCCTCCTGAGTAGCTGGGATTACAGGCATGTGCCACCACACCCGGCTAATTTTCTATTTTTAGTAGAGATGGGGCGTTACATAATATTCAGGTGCCTGGAGAGACCAATGGGTGAAACAGGAGGATTTTATTAAGGTGGTCACCAGCTTGGCGGATTTACATCCCAAGGCTGAGAGCCTAACAAAGACAGGGCTTGATTTGTTATACAGCCAGGATTACACAGCAACTAACAGGTTTACAGAAGCCAGAGGAAAGGACAGTTAACTTGTGACATGTCTTGTGTTGTATGTTATGTTTGAAAATCGCATTTGAGAAACACATTGCACATTCTTTGGGTGTTATATTACCCTGTGACCTTGCAGCTGGTCTGCAAGAAAAACAGGAGTCTTGAGATGCCTGGGAACTTTGCTGAGAAAGTAGGGAGAGTAGATAAGGTAGATTTTATAGGAAGTTAGTTAATTTCAAGCAGAGCTGGGGGTTAGGTTTTATATTGAACACAACAGAGTAAATTTTTATTATGTAGCAATTACAGACTACTATTGTTATTATTTAATTTCCCTCTTCAGGGGTTTCTCCATGTTGTTTCTCCATGGGTCACATTGGTCTCGAACTCCTGATCTCAGATGATCCACCCATCTTAGCCTCCCAAAGTGCTGGGATTACAGGCCTGAGCCACTGTGCCCAGCTTGTAAACTGGTTTCTTGAAGGGAGCAAAATTTGTAATGCTGAACACTTAGCTCCACTATAGTGGCAGTTAAATTGATCTCAAGACCTGCAGCTAATCTGGTGGGGCTCTAGCTCTAGTTCCAAGGTCAGAGAATGCACAGAGAAATGAGCTCCAGAGGCAGTGATGACAAAGGCCAGCCCCAAGATGACCAGCTCTACATAGTGCCGTTTGTGAACGCAGAAGCATCAGGAGCTATGCTCTGAAGAGGAGCTATGCTCACAATCTTCGGAGATTGAAAAACATTACAACAAAGTGTTTAATGGACATTTATCTTGTCCCTCTGCTGTTGATTATTTATAATGGTCTCTTTTTGACTATAAATTGAACCTTTTAAAAATAATATCTATCAGATTTTTCTTTAAACTTTTCAACATCTGTTAGTCTTGTTAGGATGTATTTGTCTTCAGAAACATCACTAATTATCAGGGAAATGCAAATTAAAACCACAATGTAATACCACCTTACTCCTGCAAGAATGGGCCATAATTAAAAAATCAAAAAATCATCTATGCTGGTATGGATTTGGTCAAAAGGGAACACTTACACTGCTGATGGGAATGTAAACTAGTACAACCACTATGGAAAACAGTACTGCCATTCAATCCAACAATCTCACACTGGGTGTCTACCCAAAGGAAAAGGAGTCATATGAGAAAGACAAATGCACCTGCATGTTGATAGCAGCACAGTTTGCAATTGTAAAAATGTGGAGCCAGCCTCAATGCCCATCAATTAATGGGTAAAGAAAATGTGAAATATATATACCATGAAATACTGCTGAGCCATAAAACAGAATGAAATAATGGCCTTTACAGCAACCTGGGTGGAGCTGGAGGTCGTTATTCTAAGTGAAGTGACTCAGGAATGGAAAACCAAATATCATGTATTCTCCATGAGAATCCAAAGTCATAAAATGATACAGTGGCCTTTGGGGACTAGGGGGGGAGGTTGGGAGAGGGGTGATGAATAAAAGATTACATATTGGGTACACTGCTCAAGTGGTAGGTGAACCAGAAGCTCTGATGTCACTCCTAAGGAAATTATCCATGTAACCAAAACCACGTTTCTCAAAAATGATTGAAATAAAATTTAAAAACATTATTGATAAACAACTTATATGTATACACATACACATATACATTTAAGTTAAACCCAGCAGCTTCTAGTCCAAAAATTTGCTGTGCTTGTAAAGGGTATGCTATTCAGCCATTTAAAAAATAACAAAAACTAAGAAGATACATATCCTGTAGTAATAATTGTTTTCTTCAATAACTACTATTAATAAACATGATCATTCTATGAAATACCATATTTTACACAGTTGAAATATGTTTATGGAAATACAGAAAAGAGATTATGAAGTGCATATATTCCTATAGTAAATTAAGTCCTGGTCAGCTGATTATTCACATATCTGATTGACATTCCCATCATAGCCTTGTGGTTATATGAATAGGAAATTAATGTTGGAAGTGGTTTCAGCTGGATTTTCAGTGAAACCAATGAGAAAACCACATATCTGCTTATATCCTAACTGCTTTCCATACCGGAGAACTTCAAGCATTTGTTGACTTAGCCAGTGGATAAAACATTGAAACTTTAAAAGCAAGAAACCAAATGTGCTGTTGAGGTATTGTTTTTATACAATTAAGTCTTTACAGTGATTACTATGAGAGTGGTAAGATTACTGTAGTTTTATATTTATTTAAACATTTGACCAAGTGCTGGATACAGTGGCTCATGTCTGTAATACCAGCACTTTGGGAGGCCAAGGTGGGAGTATCCACTTGATCACAGGAGTTTAACACCAACCAGCTTGGGCAAAAAGTGAGACCCTGTCTCTACAAAAAGAATTTTTAAAAATCACCCAGCTGAGTGGCATGAGCCTGTAATTCCAAGCCTTGGAAGGCTTAGGTGCATGGGTTACTTGAGCCTGGGAGGTTGAGTCTGGTGTGAGCTAGGATCATGCCACTGCACTTTATAAAGCCTGGGTGACCCTGTCTCAAAAAAACAAAAGCAAAACCTTTGGCCAGGACAGGTGAATAATCATGCAGCAGAGGGTTGCTTCCAGTCTGTTCCCCTCTCAGTGCATTCAAGTCATCCCCACATTCTGTTGTGGCCAGGGGTGACAGATGCTGAGTACCTTGGGGTTTCATTTCTAACGCAACTCAGGAGAAACAGTGTGTAAGGCCGGCACCCTACCAGAAGGCATCTCATAAAATGAGCTTAGTTTAGCCAAGATGTCTCTCTCTGATCTTTCTACTGTTGGAGGTGTAAAGAGTATTCCTGCCCCATAATAGTGGAAGCTAATAAATGGCATTCATCATTTCTGTCATCTGATCACTATTGTGGTGTCTTGGGAGTGAGCATGAAGTCTGAGTTGTGCAATGGAATGCTCAAGAATGAGCCCCGAGTCAGCTGCATAAGTACAGAGGAGGCTGTCCCCTTTCTCCTCATCCCAAACTTGGGGTGCTGGATTCAGAATGGACTGCAAGCAGCTGTGCCCTGTTTGGACATTAGCATAGGAACCCACCTGCATGTGTTTCAAAACAGAATTTGGAGCCATTCTAGTAGCTCAGTGTGATGTTTTTAAATAACTAGAGAAAAGTTTTGTTAACTGACTTAACAAAAACAATTGCCTATTAAATGCATATAGTATTGTTTAAAAATTATCTACAAAATTGTAACCTCAATGTTTTCTTGCAAAAGAAGCGGAAATAATACAGAGACCCTTTCAAATGAAGAATCCCTGAGAAACAAAACAGAAGTAGGATAACATTTACTTATGTATCTTTTTGAAGATTATACAAGAATGAATTTGCATCAGGCTTTTCAATTTATGAACATTAGTAGGGCTTCCCTCTAGGGAAAGTTTTCACATCAATGTTGAAGAAATTCTGAAAACTGTAAACTTTTCTGTATTTGGTAATCTACCAGGGTTCCAATCCAATGTGCTTTCTTATATTTATAAGGTCTATCTCCAGTGTGTATTATCATGGGTCTTGGAGAAAATATCATGTAAATGAAGGCATTTCTACATTCTATACATTCATAAGTTTTATTTCAGAATTCTTCATGTGGAACTGAAACAACTATAGACCTTACCACATGTTTCTATTAGGAATTTCCCATTGAATCCTTTCATGTTTTCAAAGAAATAAAAAAGCTGAAGTCTTTACCATGTTTCTTAAGATTATGTCATTTTTCTCCATATTAAATGTGAATATGTCTTTGAAAGCATAGGAGAAAATCAAGTTTATTAACACATTTTTTACATTCATGTTTTGTTTCTGGTACAAGTTTTTTTCTGAGTTTTCAAAGAGAATTGGGAAAGTTGCATGCTTTCTTGTATTTCTTCGCTAGATCGGGTTCTGTCCAGTGTGAGTTATTTCATGAATTCTAATAAACTAGAGCGCATGATAGCTTTACCACATTTCTTACATAAGAATAATGTTTTTGAAGATAGCCCAGTGAACTAACATGGTCCTGTGTTGGTTTTGTTGTGTTTCTCCTTCCCCAGGGATGAGCTGCAAAGGGACTTCTTGGAGCTAATTAATTATGATTTCAGTGTTTCTCGAAGCATGTATACGAGCCACTACTTCTATCTTCGTGAGTTGGCATTCAATCATGGCCTGAGTTTGCCATCTTACCTTCTTGACAGAGAAAACGCGTGGGATCTGAAGGTAAGGCTATGAAGTTACTAAGTGGGTTTTCAGTCAAACACCAGTTCCAACATTTATGACTAGGTCATATGAAGTAGTGATTAGAAAAATGGAAAGCTTCAAAATTAACATACTGAAGAGCTTATTAACCTTTCGGCATTCTATTTCCTGTATCTCTTATGGTTTTTATAAGGATTCATGTTTTTTAAAAATTATAGATATTATCTCTTTTGTGGCCATAATTCAGAATGTTTTAATCAAATTAAATTCATTCTTAATGAGCTTGAACGTTTTGAACCTTTGCCCTTGCAAATAATCATACAGAAATGATTTCTTGCCATTGTATTTCTAATGATGTCTACATGCATAATGCACTTACCACTCTTGACTACTTTTTATTACTCAGTTTGCAAATTTCTGTCATTTTCTACTGTGTATACCACAGTGCAGTCAGTCCCATGGGTGTGTTAGACAAACCGTTAGTACCTAAGCCGAGAGACATGCACTTAGACAGTATGAGGTGTGCGTGTCTCAAGTACTGTCTGCAGGAAGTACCTGGGATTTTACTGGAAATGATAACTTTTATGGGACAAGGTAATATTTATGGTTTGTGACTTTTGGTAAGTACACAGCAAAATTACTCACAGCTGACAAGGATGAACATTTAAAATAGGCATGTTCTGTGGCATTGGGAAGTATTTCAAAATAAAACAATTTTCTACTATAAGCATAGAAGTAGTGCCTTTTGATGCTTAATCATTATACTTTGTTGACATTTCAATACAATCCAGCACATGCCTGCCTGGTTACAATTTTCTTTCGGTATATAATAGCTCTATAGATTGGGTAGAATGTGAATAGATTAATAAACTAACTTTTTGCAAAAGTGTGCTTTTGTTATTTTTAAGACACAAGTGCACAGGTAACAGATGATAGACTTAGAAGCTTGTCACAATACGGTGACATTCTTGGGAGCCCAGTTTTTAAGTAACTTAATAAAGCAAGCTCCCCTTTGCTCCAGCAATCTAATTCTAGCCCTGAAAGGAGATGACCTAAGTAAGCTGCCAGAAGTTGGCAGTGTAAACCTCAGCCAAAGTAGCTGTAGCTAAGCTATCTAAAGGAGTCTGCATGTGTGGCTTCTCATCAGTGGTGATTGTTAAAAGGGTGGAACCCTTTTTAAAATTGTACCTCTTTTCTGTTTGACATTCTTAGGCTTTATCAAGGATGGATCAAGATGAAGCATTCTATACTGCTCACAAGACCGGGTCTTTGAGTGCTGGTGACTTAATTCGTCTTCAGCGCGCTAAGGCCGTCCTCTCCTGAAGGAAGAAATGAGGGGTAATGTAACATCTGAACCCCTCGCCAAAAAAGACAGGAAAATACCACCTCTCCTGCTAAATAACTAGAAAAATTTGTATTTTCAAAAGAAGAAATACCTCAATTCAAGTTAACTCAAGGGCAACTAAGATTGCACTTTATAGTAAAGAATGGGACCTTGTCAGGGCAACAGCACAGTCTTACACTCTTGTGTCCCTTTGAATGTAAACAGAGTTATAGAAACCACTCCAATGTGAAGGCTCCTTCTGCCCACTCACAGATACTTGCATAGTGTGTTGGCTGACAGCTGTGAACTGTGTCAGGCTTTTTTTGTTTTGTTTTCAGATGAGTCTCTGTTGCCAGGCTAGCGGGCAGTGGTGTGATCTCGGCTCAATGCAATTTCCACCTCTTGGGTCCAAGCCATTCTCCTGCCTAAGCCCCCCTCCTTAATTAAATGTTTTATTTTAAGTAGCTGGGATTACAGGGGCACCCAGCCTATGTAAGTCTTTTAAAAATGTAAACAATGGTTTAAATTTTTTAGATTTTAAAAGGTAACTTTTTTGTTTCTTTTAAATATTTTTTCTTTTCCCTCAAATTGCAGTACAGTATTAGTATTAAAGCATATCAAAGGAGTTCATGAATAGCACAGTCTTTTCTTCCTGAGGGTCCCCCCCTTCAGGTGTCCCAGGCTGCCCCCAGAAGTCATAGACGGGGCCTTTATACTGAGAGAAGCTACAGAGCGCTGGAAAGCTGAGAATGCACAGGCAGGCATGATCAGAGTTGAGAATAGGAGGGGGGTTGTGATGTCCTCTGTGAGGGAATAATTGTTATTGTCCTGAGGCTGTTTCTAGATATTGCCAAATAAATTCAGATGTAGGTAAGATGTGACTTTATTCTAAAGGAGTATTGCAATGGGGAAAGCTCCAAGCATCAGATCTGCAAGCATCTCACAAGAGGCAGAAAAGGGCTGTGTTTTTTATGGAGGAGCAAACAAGATTAGAAGGAAGGTGGGAGGAATAGTGGAGAATAGCAAAATCAGATTCAAGCTTAGGGAATGTTTCAGCCAGAAGTCAGCCTGTTCTTAGGAGGGGCATAAACGGGGTTTGTATATTGGCTCAGACTGAAGGCAGAGCAGAGTCTGGGAGCTAGGGAAAGGAGAGAAACTTCAGCAAAGTTGTGATGGAATTCCTGGAACCCAGGAGGCAAAAGTTGCAGTAAGCCGAGATTGCACCAGTGCACTCCAGGGTGACAGAGTGAGATTCTGTCTCATAAGTAAATAAATAAATTTTTTAAATAAAGTCTTGTTTTAACCAATTATAGTTTGTATTTGTGTAATTTTGTTAATATAAAAGACCCACCTCTGGAAAGACTATTAGGATTTTCTTCTTACTCATATCCAACTAAATTATACCACCTGTTTTCTAAAAAAAAAAAACAAAGTTTTCATTAACTAATCTTATTATCAATTTACATAGATGATTCACAACATACTTAGACTTTGTTTTGCCTAAATATTCTCTTTCTTGAACAGCCTGGTCATTTTATTTTAGGACAAAAAATTTACCGCAAAAGATTCCTTCTTATATAAAATTGCTTTTTTTCACCTTTATCAAAAATACCTCTTTATATCTTTAACTTTCTTCTTTTATTTCCTGGTTCCTATTACCTCATTTTATACATAACTTTTATAAAAGCTTTGAATTAGACAAAGATATTGACTTCCTAATAAGAACATTTTAAAAGTATTTTCCTACATTTTTTGAGTTGGAAATTACCCAGCTACTTAATATCTGTTAATAACCTTAGATACCAAATCATATGACAAGTCTGTTTACAACCATTTATTCTGTTACATTTACAAGATTATTTAATATTTTATCTAGATGATGAAAACTGTGATAGTCATTATTTAAAGTAAATTCCCTGTTAACCATTTTTTATAACTGTGAATTTCGGGTGTTGAAGTAATTCTCTTTTCTTTGTTTGTTTGAGACATTTTGCTTTTATTGCCCAGGCTGGAGTGCAGTGGTGCAATCTGGGCTCACTGCCACCTCCACCTCCTGGGTTCAAGTGATTCTCTTGCCTCAGCCTCCCAAGTAGCTGGGACTACAGGTGCCCGCCACCCCACAGGTTAATTTTTTTGTATTTTTAGTAGAGACAGGGTTTCACCATGTTGGCCGGGCTGGTCTCGAACATCTGCCATCAGGTGATCGGCCCCCCCTTGGCCTCCCAAATTAGAGGCATGAGCCACCATGCCCAGCCTATTTAAGTAATTTTCTTAAGGTTAAATATAAGGGTATTTTACCAATAACTCAGAATGTAGATGTTTTCATTAAACCAAATTATTCCATGTCTTTTTTATCAAAAATTACACAAGCAAAGATCATTCTGTCTTGGGCGGGGTGGTATAGTTTTATAACCTTTATAACAAATCTTCATCGTATTCTGCAGGAATAAGCATGAAATCACGTGATCAACAAATGCAAACAATGCTGGAAACTTTCACAGCATTTCTAATACTTTCTCAATAATTTGAAAGCCAGCTTATTTATAAAAGATTTTACTTAAGTCACATAAATGTGAAAAAGCATTTGACTAGTCTTTTTATTAATAAAATGGCTGACTTGTGTACTTGTATTTTTCTTTAAGCCTATGAATTAGAGCTCTCTATAGTAGAGAAATATTGTGTACACAACACATAAATACATAAATCTATTTGGCATGCTGTCAGAAATATGACTTACAGATTCATGAGACCTCTTTTCTTTCTCTGTCATAGACTTAAATTTTTTCATATTTTTTTAATTTAAATAGTTTTTGGGGTAACAGGTGTTTGGTTACGCCACAACAAAATCACTACCACAAAAAAAAAAGATAGTTCTTTACATTTTATTTCAAAATGAATAATTGAAATAATTTTAATGTTTTTATTTCTAACACTTGGTACTAGTGCTGACGTGTTTTTGAAGAAAGATTGATTGAGCATTTAATATTATTGGAACGTATGTAGAAAACGGTTTTTGCCTTGTCTTCAGTGGTGATTTTTGAGATTTTGGTGAACTCATCACCTGAACAATGTGCACTACCCAATGTGTAGTCTTTTATCCCTCACCCACCTCCTGCCCTTTCCCCCAAGGCCCCAGAATCCATTGTATCATTCTTATGCCTTTGCACCCTCATGACTTAGTTCCCACTTATGAGTGAGAACCTAAGATGTTTGGTTTTCTATTCCTCAGTTACTTCACTTAGAATAATGGTCTCCAGTTTCATCCATTATATTGTTCCTCTTCATGGGTGAGTAGTATCTGTGGCATAAATGAGGTCTAGGGAACTCCAAGGCTACTGAGAGTAGGTGGACTAGAGACATGGGTGAGAGTGGATAATTCTTATTCTCTAGGCCCTCCCTGCTTCATGAGTGCAAGCTGCTTTGGCAGTTCTGGGTGGCACCTGCCAAGGCTGCTGGGACTCAGGGATGCAAGGACAGAAGAGGGAAAGAGGACACCCTCCTCTTCCTCACATACCCAGGATATATCTGCTAGGAAGAGAAGGAAACCAGGTGTGCCTGCTCCCCTGTTTTCAGATGGGTAGCCATCCATCTTCCATCTGTACCCCTTTGAAATCCATCCTGAACCCCTGGGACTCCTTTGAAAAAACATCTTTTTCTTTCTCCCCTTCTGTCCTGTCTTCACAGAGAGGTAATTCTGTCTCTATACTATGGGACACTTTCTAAGATGTATCCTCCAAATTGAGAAAACTTAGGTTTTCAAACCTTAAACTGGTTGGCTTAGGATTGGGCTCAGGGGAAGGGAACCCAGAAGCACAACATGCTGGCCAAAGGGCCAAGTTTCTTTTTACCAGTGGGGTTTTTGGCCTCCCTCTCCTGTGCAAACTGGTAAAAGGCCTTGGGACTTTTGAGCGGTCCTTACCCCTCCCCTTATTTTGATTCACTTTGATTTGTTTTGTTTTGTTTGAGAAAGAGTTTCTCTCTTGTGGCCCAAGCTGGAGTGCAATGGTGAGATCTTGGCTCACTAACCTCCACTTCCCGGGTTCAAGAGATTCTCTTGCCTCAGGCTCCCTAGTAGCTGGGATTACAGGCACCTGCCACCATGCCTATGTAGTGTTTTGTATATTTTGTATTTTTAGTAGAGACGGGGTTTCACTCTGTTGGCCAGGCTGGTCTCAAACTCCTGACCTCAGGCAACCCACCTGCCTCAGCCTCCAAAAAGTGCTGGGATTACAGGCGTGAGCCACCGCACCCAGCTCATTTTGTTTTGATACCTGTTTTCCAATAATCTGGTGTGTGTTGTCTCACCTTCAGCCATCAAAGGTTGAATGGTCAAGCAGCTGGAGGTTTGGACAATGACCCCTTCTGCCAGGGATCCTTAGATAGGCCTCTGAGGGGACTCTGAGTGCTGTTTTCCCAAAACTGCCCCTGACAGTAGGAAGCAGCATCCTTATTCTAACAGCAGTTGGATGTACTTACTTAGAGAGAGGAATGAGGCGGCTGAGTATAAAGGGGTCATCAGAGAACCTCCAACAGCCTGCACACTGGGAGTGAGCACTGGAGTGGAGCCTCGGGAAGTTCGCACAGTTTGCAGTGTGGAGAGCCTGGCCTCTTCCCTTCCTGTGTGGAACCTGGAATTCAATCTGTGAAGCGGGAAGCCTACGCTAGCAGGACTCTCACTCTGCTGAGGGTCCCTGGTTCCTCTTTATCCTTTTTGCTTATAAATTTTATTTTTCTCACCCTTCAAAGTGTCTGTGAGCCTAATATTTCATGAGCATATGACAAGGACCCCGTTTTATTCTGGAATGTTTTACATTGGTCATTTATACCTCATCATTCATCCATACCCGATGAAGAATCACCACGACAAAAAAGATAGTTCTTGAAATTTTATTTCAAGATGAATAATTGAAATAATTTTAATGTTTTTTATTTCTAGCACTTGATACAGTGCTGGCTTGTTATTGAAGAAATATTGATGTGAGCATTTAATATGACTTATTACTTGGAACATACGTAGAAAATGGTTCCTGTTTCCTTGTCATTTATAGTCTAAAGAAAACCTGTGTAAACCCCTTTACAGAAACAAAGATTTTATTTGTTTCTATCTAATAAAAATAACTTGAAGCAGATCTGACATTCTTGAATAATTTCTAACTTGATTTTTGACCTGATTCTCCATAACTGTGAGAGAATAAAAATAAAAATAAACTAGATATATTCTGGTCTGAAGAAAGTTGTCTTGACATTTTTTTAAACATAGAAGTTTCATGTTTCATGTCTTCATTGTATTTTTAAAAATGATTTTTTGGAAACATTTTTACTGAAATTGCTCCTTTTGAAGTCACTAGAGATAAAAGTTATGTAATTTAATGATCATTATTAGGTTTATTACTAAGTCAAC